ATACATACATATGTATGTATGTGCATATTATATATATATATACATACATCTCGCCAGGATGCATAATCTTATCGAAGATCTAGTTTGCAAGCCCAAACCTCAGGCCTTGATCCGAAACCCAAAAAAAACGCCAAACGACGGAGAACCCTAAATGGAGGATGAACTCATTCGTAGGGTTTAGGGTTTTGGGTTTTGGGTTTAGGGTTTAGGGTTCTGGGTTCAGGGCCCTAAACCCTCAGCCCCAAAACCTTAAACTCCCAAAACCTAAACCCTAAACCCTGCAAATCCCAAACTAGGGGTATTGGAAGTTGAAGTTTCTGATTCCAGGCTGTGGGTTTCAATGTTTCGGGCCTTGGGTCTTAGAGTGCGGGTTCAGGGTTCAGGGTTCAGGGTTTAGGGCTTAGGGTTTAGAGTTTAGGGTTTAGGGGTTTTAGGGTCATACAAACTGAATCCCGAATCGTACGTCGCAGCCTCCGCAGCGCTGTGCGAAGTTGCGGAGCAGGGCCAACGACGTCTCACTCCGGCCTGCTTGACCTCAGGGTTTATTGGTTTAGGGTTTAGGGTTTAGGGTTTAGGGTTTAGGGTTTGGGTCTTAGGGTTTAGGGTTTAGGTCAAGGCACAGCGTTTGGCATTACGGGTTTGAGGCTTGCATGATTCGTCGCAGCAGTCGTAGTAGTAACACTAGCGGTAGCAGTAGCAGTTGTAGCAGTAGCAGTAGAAGGAGGAGTAGGACTAGGGGTAAGAGTAGGACTGAGTAGGAGTAGGAGTAGTAGGAGTACGAGTCGAACTAGGAGTAGGGACAGAAGGAGTCGCAGTAGTAGTTGTCGTCGTCGTCGTGGTAGTAGTAGCAGTAGTAGTAATAGTAGCAGCAGTAGTCGTGGTGGTGGTGGTGGTGGTAGTAGTGGTGGTGGTAGTAGTAGTCGTCGTCGTAGTCGTCGTAGTAGTCGTCGTCGGAACAGTAGTGGTAGTGGTAGGTAGTGGTAGTGGTCGCGGTGGTGGTCACGGTCGTGGTCGTGGCGGTGGTGGCAGTGGTGGTGGTGGTGGTGGTGGTGGTGCTCTGCTGCTGCTGCTGCTGCTGCCGCGGCTGCTGCTGCTGCTGCTAGTGACTGCTAGTGGTGGTCGTCGTCGTCGTAGTAGTAGTAGTAATGAGTACATAAGCTCGGCTGTTGATATACCAATTTAGCGCACCCCCCTCCCCCCCAACCCACACCCCGATATTGATACTGGCCCTGGTCTGCCTCTCGGCTAAACGCAAGACTAAACTCAAGCCCTGCTCCGCGAGCTTTCGTGACAGCTTCGACCCTCTGCCTGCCACGTCCAAGCTCCACGGGAAAATCCTCGCAAGGCTGGACACCTCTAGCCGCACGAGTGGGCGTGCTGTCTCAGGTCTGGACTGTGCACAGGGCCACACCGCTCATGTTTGGACCTCGGTGCACTGCAGAGCAAGGTGAGCTTGCCTCGATCCAGATGTCTTGATGAAACTTGCCTCTATGAAGCCACGGAAAGAATGAAATTCAGAACTCCTCTGCGTGCTTTACGTTGTTGCATTTCGGACCGCGTGCGAGCTCGCTACCCGAAGCTTTCGCATTAACGACACGAGCAGTTGCACAATCTTACTTATAACAATGCAGAAAGATGCCGCCAATCTGAGGGCAAGCCAGGGGATTGGCAAAATTCTGGGAATTGTTGAATGGAACAGCAATGCTGAAAGCAAAACCTCTCCAAGTTGTACTGGATCGTACTCGGCAGGACTTGTTTTATGAAGATTCTCACCCAGTTTTCACAAAGCTGAGAGCATGTCGGGGCCCTGGCCCTTTGTGCCGCCGACGGCAGCTTCCGGGCCAGGCTCTTCGTGCGCACGCCGGTTGCGGCCCGTCCATGCGAAACAGGTTGCGACAGACTTGCAGCTACTCTTCAGGCTACCATATCACATTCACAGTCTTCTGCGAGTGGTGCGGCATGTTTTGCTCTTAATCCCTGTGTCCGCACCTAAACTCGCCGAAGATGTCGTTGAAGTATTCTAGTGTTCTACCCATGCTCCATACTCCGGTCCTGACTTGTCAGCAGTTCACAAGCAATGGCTGTCAACATCCTCATCTTATGCCCTTGCACTTTTATGTGGCTCAAAGCAACTGATCGGCTGTGGGATGCAAGCATCAATGAAGCAGCATTCGTTGAAAACGTCCGCAGCCCTGGAAGCATAGGTTGGCTCGCAAGCTCCTCTCTTGCAAGATCGGACCTTAACACTTCGGACACTTCATACGCATTCTGAGATCTGCTCCGCTCCGGCGCACACGAATGTAAGGCCAGCACTCACTCCTGTCTGTCTCGTCAGCTTTGGCCTGGCCAAGTACCATTTCTGAAAAAACCGCCTGCCGTCTGCGATCGTCTGCGTCAGACGTCGCCTTAGCCTTCTTCTTTGGCTGCTCTTTCTGCTTTGCAAACCTTTCGGTACGCTTGGTCCCGATTCTGTTGGTTTTGCACCCCTTCTGGTTCATCGCCGTCAGCACAACAGCAAAACCACGTGAAGGAGCCCATGCTGCATGAAGTGGGCGATGTCAATCGGCGCCTGCGGCCAGCCAACTGGGATAACTTCTAGGTATGAGGATAGCAACATCCACAGGGCTGTGTACGGGATTAGACATCACACACCTGCGATGTGGCATCCGCTTTCCGCTTCTCCGCCCTTGGATGCGGACATAACGGGCAAGAGGTGCATCTTGACTCAAAGCCCAGTCACGAAGCCGAGGACGTGGACGTGGATGGAGCCGGCTGCAGCTCCTGGCGAAGGCACGGAGATGCATGTGCCCTTCTGATATCTGCACTTTATGGCAGGACAAGGGCATCCTCCAGCGTCCATGCGCTCTTGCCAGTCTTCTTGTGAAAGAAATAGTTGTGCTCAGATGCCAGATGCCGTTTGCTTTGACATGTTAAATGACACAACTTCGAGATGCAGCGGGAGTCTTGGAGCCATGCCTGCTTAACAGGGTCCCACATCTCAATGATGTTTGGGTCTCGTCTGGACAGCTCTTCTGCCTTCAAATCGCACGCGTTCGTAGATGACTTGCTCGAATCTTGCTGCCCCATGTCCGTCTGAGCCCTGCCAGAGAGCCTTGGCGAGATCGACCACGTACAGTCGAGCACCCTCGACACGGCGCTTCTGGAAGGAGGCCTAGCCGCCACAAGAGTTACCATCAGGCAGCTGGGAGTTTACAAGTAACTTGGAAGCAATAGTCAGAAGCCGCAAGTAGCGCGACATCTTTACATAACTCTGCGTCAGCATCGTGGCCTGCATCTGCGGAGCAGAGAGCCCAGCCAGCAAACGCCCTTCTATCGCCACGATGGCCTGGTGGCTAGCGACCGCTAGTACCAGGTCAGACGTTGCGTTTTTTGACTCAAAACCTTGGCTCAACCGCCCCAAATACGCCACAAACTAACGGATTCAGGCTATCGTAATGACAAGCTGTATAGCAACTACAGTACCCAGGCGAACGGAGGAATTTTGCACAACTCAACTGCATCGCTCCGATCGCACCTCGCCCTTTTGCAGTTTTTGGCCAGGCCTCATGCTGGACTCTGGCAGCTTCTGCAGTATGCACATGCGTAACTCATGTGCCACTGTGCCGGGATCAACACTCGTCCTCCACCTTGTCAACCACGAATCCGAAATCACTGTGCCTCTCGGAACTGGCGTCCCTCCTGCTTCGACGATTTCTGAGCAACCATGACACTGTAGCTTGGGTCCGTGCGACATACTCAAGCCACAACTTTGCTGCTCACTGACACCTCAGCGCAGGTGCAGGACACAGCACCCTGCAAGCAGCCATGAAATGTGGGTTTGGGATCTGAGAAGCCTGCGTAGTTGCTCCTTCCAAAAACCAGCTTCACAGCCAATTGGCAAGCCCCCTCATGCCAGCGAGCCTCCCGATGAGGCGTGTCCCGCCAAGTTTCGGGCAACTTGGAAACTACCTCAGCTACGAACATGCTCTTGCACAAGCTGCTAGAGCCGGACATCAGCGACTGACATCATCCCAGATAGATCGGTTGACCTGTACGGGATCCAGATAGTACCTCGAGCGACAAATCGTCATCGCCTTTTGGCCCTGAGTCACAGCTGCACAGGGGGCACCCCAAGCCATGTTGGTCAACTTTGAACACGTAGCCCGGCCTCAGCTAATACTAGAGCTGCCGGTGCGGCTCCTCGAATGGCGACGTTTCCGGAACAATCCATGCAGGTCCGTGGGCTGAAATCTTCTGTCGCACTCCATCCAAAATATCCAAATCACATTTGGCGCCAGGAAATCCAGGCAAGAGTGGGCACATAGCAGGCGCGCCTGGCTCCCTGAAAGGACTCGGCCGCCTTCACATGCTGCCACAACTGCAGAAATGGCTGTGGCTCACGACACGAGGCTTCATCGCATCTCCTCATTTGTTACACACAGCACCAAAACCATACCATGACACACTTTTCACATGCTGTCGTGGAGCTTTGAGAATTTACAACCTCTGAAAGGCATTCATTCATGTCGGATATGTCAGGAGCATTGAGGGTCGCGGAGACGATTGCTTGAGCTTCTGGACTAATGTGCCAGGTTATCTATAGCCAACCTGGAAGGTCTCGGGCGAAGTCGCCTTGCCAGCGGTCAGACAAAGACTGAAAGCTTTTTGCAGACATGCTGAGGCGAGAGCCTCCGGCATGGAAGACCTGAGAATCTGTCTCATCATGAGCCGCTGCAACAGCGATCACTACATGTACGACTGAATGATGCGACGTTCCAGCAGCTCTGAGACGCGGTACAACAATGCGGGCAGATCAAGCTGCTAAGAACACAAGGCTTCAAGTCGCTTTTGTGGGAGTTCAGCTTGACAAGCAACGGCGCTTAGAGAACCAGAGCAGTAAAGAACAGGCTTAGCATCAGCGAAGCTTTGCAAGTCTGCTGCTGTCCGTGCGGTATGCTGGCACGCAGGCTGAGGATGGACATTGCAGGTATCTTCCGGTCTGTGCACAGCTCACAATTTGCGGTATGGCTCAGTGCTCAGGCCCTCCCATGATCCCGTGCAAGCGAGTCATGTTTTGCATCCCTCCCGGCTTCGCGTCGCCACAGCTCTTTCTGGTGGGAGGCCGTAATGCTCTCCTGGCTTTGACAACTTTGAGACGACACGCGAGACAAGGCATGCGCGCCAATTATCTAATATGATCAGCCAGCGACATCGGAATCAAGAGCATGTCAACATGTCGTCCAGAAACCTTCACAAGCAGCAGGTCCTCAATCGTCCCGCAAGTGACGAAGCGCCAGCAGTTCACCTTGCACTGCCACAACACACAGCAGTACCTACAACGTGCAGCCCCGAAATTAAACCCGAGAGCATCTCTCCCCCCTCTTTGTGAACACAGCCCATGATACTTCAAACTTCAGCTACAAGTTTTGCAAGGTGCCTCGGGCTTCTGTTGGCCGTAGCGACGACAACGAGCAATTGCTTGGGCTTCATAAGCCACAGCCCGTTCTGCGGAGGTCGCATACATCGGGTGGACGAAGACGACCTGTGGCAATTCGCAGGGCTCGGCCTTCTTTGAAAACTGAAGGGCTTGGCTGAAAGTCCAAAGCGCATGGTTCGCGGCGGTGAGGTTCGTGCCACTGGCGGCGTGTTCCAGCGAAAGGAGCAGGGAGCGGCCGCCACCATCTGCGCCATCGCCATCTTCATCCTGCAGACGCCCTTCATGTCTCTCTCCCTCCCTCCGCCTCATCCGCCTCCCTCCCTCTCTCTTGCCGCCCGAGCTTCGAGCTTTCGTCTCTCCATCTCTCTCTCTCCGTCCTGGAAACGGCGGAGCACCTCCGCCCGTTGGAAGACGGACCCGACCAACTCCAAGTGCGGCACACCCAAAGCATCCAGCGCAGCAGAAACACACCTTTTCAAATCCTCCCACTGGCAGAAGACCAAAGCCTTTTCACCTGAGACTGCAACTTCTGGATTTAGGGCTCACTTGCCAGCAAGCTATCATATTTCCATCCGCAATGAAACTCAAAGTGAGGCATGAAAAAGCTCAGAACACGTGAAGCGCATCCCGAAATCAAGCGGCCACTTTCATGCACCTTTTTCAAGTGCACCGCCAGCGCTGCAAGTTTGCTTCCGGCCTCAAATCAAGGCGTCGCCAATGGCGCCACTTCTCTGTAGGCACTGGGCACTGCACTTTGCCGCCCGCCTGTTTCTCGAACGCTTTTAAGCTGCAGCGCAATTTGCAGCCTGCACAGACCGGTCGGCATTGTTTTGAATCCGCGTGCGGCCCAAATCGGGGATTAGAGTTGCAGAGCTTCCCCCGGCTCTCCCGTGAATCTCCCAAACCCTGATACTGCAATATACTGCAGCCTCGCCCCGGACGAGGTGCTTGGAGTTCTTTGGCAAGGCGTGTGACATCGCTCTTTCCCAGCTTGTGCCGGCATTCCTGAAGCTTAACACTCCATTGCAATATCAAGGGGCCCACAAATCACGTCAATCTCTAAACGGCGCATGCCGTTGATCGAAAGATCGAAATGCAAGCATCACGAGCCGAGTTGCGGGGCAGTTTCCGAACTTCTTCACCACTTCTTGAAGGCAGGTAGTATGAAAGACGTGGGCGCAAGTCGTTATGGACAGGTCTTCCTTGCAGCGCCCATTGTGGACTCTGTTTCGCTTGGACAATGCGGCACCGGCCTCGTTCAGATCCTCCTCCAAGCATATGCTGCAAGATCTTTGTGCAGATGATGCCTCACCCCGGGCAGCCGCCAGCGTTCGCTGGAAGAACCTGATAAGATGTGGATGGCACGCTCCCGGGAAAACAGTCAAAACCATTCCACATCCAACTGCTGCAGGAAGTGCTGAAGGGATCTCTGGGAAGAGCTCGCTGCCTCTGCAGCCGCCACCATGCGATCTGCAGGTCAGGGTCAATGGACCAAGAGGCCGCTACACTATGCTGATGTTGGTGGACACGGGTGTGTGCTGATGCCGCTATGCCTTGGAGAACGTCTTGCGTCTCTTCGAACTCGCCGGCTCTTCGCTGCAGCTCCGACAAGCACATACGCGCAACCTGTCGGAAAAGTCTGAGCTTTCACGGTTCTCAGTGTTTCTTATCTGTACTTCCGAAATACATGTGCTAGCAAGTCAGAACGAGACTGGCAGTATGCGCCCCAAAAGTTGAAAAGTTGGGCTTTGGACCACAGTAGTTTCTTTGGGAGACTGGCAGAGCCGTCAGGGCTGAGATGATATGAGATGTCAAGTGATGCCAAGGATTTCATGCTCCCCTCACAAGTCCCTTGCGGATGGCTGCGCAACGCTAAACAGAACCTTGCCTCCACAAGGCAAGCTGCGGCAGATGCCTCAGATGTAGAGCAATGCAAAAGTCGAGGTGGCACGAAAAGCAATGCACAAATGGGCCGGAACCTCCCTTCAGTCCCGAAACACGGACAAGTTCAAGATGTGCTCTTGAGTCGAGCACAAACGAGCCAAGTCACAGCAGCTGCTGGCTGGGAGACAGCAGCCAAGGTACTAATGATGTCGTCTTGGGCACTGACAGGGGCATCGGAAAGCTCGTGATCTTGCCCACCAGTGCAAGACATTGGGGCCTCCGGTACAGTTGCTCCAAGACGACGCAAGATCCCAGTCTGGAGCTCGAATCGCTGACCGCAACTGACAGCGGAAGTCTCTCGAAGGCGCAGTTCCAAGCGGATGCCCCAGCGCTGCATTTGGTTTGCTGCTCTTTTCGCTTGCTGCTCTTTGCTGGACAAGATTCGGCGGCATTCCGTCCCGGCATCCGCGGATGATCCGGAAGCCATGCCAGAATATGCAGCAAAGTGGGAGCACAGCTTGATAAGCCTTTCTACGCCACGAGACTCGCCAGTGATATCGAGCGACGCCCCACTCGCCTGGCAAAGGTCATGAGAAGCTTGCAAGTAGATTGCACGCTCCTCCGGTGTCTGTTCCACTGCAACAAGGTGCTCGTTCAAAGGCACCGTCTCGATCTCTTCGCTCGTGTTCTGCCTGGCGAATCGATCCAAGAAGGATCGAGCCATTTCCTGTGCAAGCTGAAGTTCATACTCAGTGCCATCCTCGCAGGGCAAGCCTGGCAGCTGAAAAAGCTTCGCCAATGTCGCCACCTGTGACAAGTCTCGGGTAGGCGGAGTGCCTGTCAGGCCCCAGCGGCAACCGGCGCAAATACACTGCAAGGAGTCGAACTGCGCCGTGTCACCTATTGCCTCCAGGCTTTCGAAAGAGCGGCTCTGACTCAACCCTGATTTGATGTACCCGTTCAGCCCAATGTAACAGACCCAATGCAAAACTGGCTGCCGGTCCCTTAACCGCGAGCGAGACTGTGCTCACTGCTCACAAAAACCTAGCAAAACAACTTACAATGATAAAGATTGCTGGTGGGTAAGGCTGAATGGGCTCACTTTCCCTGTTGCTTGGCCTCAAGTTCGTGGAACTCGTCGAAGACGATTCTTCTCCACCACATCTGTTCCAGCACTGGAAAGCAAAGGTTGTTGGCGTCGCTGCTGGCTGCCGCCACGCTCGCTCGTTGCGGGCTGCCCACTGACGAATCCGGAATTTGCAGCCATCCAAGCTCGCTGGGATTTTCACGAAATCGCTTGGTGTTTCGACGCAAGCTTTGGATGTCGACAGCCATGCGAGCTGCCTCATCATGCTGGACGTAACATGCGAAAAAAACACAAACGTTGCTGGTCCGCGCCTCGCCATTGGACACTTGGGAGAAGTCACCTGAAAGCTCTTGCAAGCGCCGCCTGTATACCGGGGAGTACAGCAAGCGATAGGAGCAAATCACGATGTCCTTAGCTTAGTTGGAAGCCATCCACGAAAACTCAGTTGCTGCTCTCCCCCCTCTGGATGCGGACACGGTACGACACGGTCAAGTTGAAACGAGCATAGCATAAAGCAGAATCCCTGCCTTGAAATCCTGGCCCGGTCACTAAGCATGCGCGGCATGCATCCCACATACAATCCACCGTGCCCGATATCAGAGCTCAAGCATATTGGCAGCTTGGGCGCTGCTGTAGAGTACCCTGAAGCTTTGAAGACTGGAAGCCTCAAGATCCAAACACTTCCACTTTTGTCCGAGGTGCAGCTCTGCTGATCTTGTCCACCGTTAGCATCTTCAGCTGGGCTGCTGTCCCAATTAAAAGTACCTTCTGCATCTCTACGTCCGGTTACTGATCGTGTCTAGCAGTATGTGGTAGCACGTGCACCTTCGCATGCCGCCAGCCGCAAGCAGTGCTGTTGCACCGAATCGAGTACTACTAAGTCTACGCAAGAAGGGCCACAACTACGTAGCGCTACCAGGCGTCCTTACTTACTATACTCCTGTATCGAATATGTCTAGCCCATCAATGCAAAATTTCGTGAGCTAGCATACACAGCACCTGCTCGTTGTTCACCTCTGCGTGTGACGCCGACACTGGGCAGTGCTAGCACTGGTATTTTTGAGATCCTCCGTGCCAGCACCAACCAACACCCCTCAGATTGTCCCTTGTCAGGCTCGGAGAATGCTTCGTTGTGGACCCGGGAAGCCAGCGAATTTGTGTGTTGAGGAAAACGTTCACCAGCGATGGTGAATCACTAGTGAACATGACAACAAAGCAGTCGTCCAAGCAGAACATCTGGACTTGTCGGCACAGTACTTTGCAGTCGGCGGACCGCTGCTTTGCACAGCAAGAGAGAGAAACTTTTACGGCCTCGAAGAACTCAGTGGCGGCCAAGCCGACGCATTCTTCACAGCACGGCCCGAGAGCAAACACGAGCGCATTTCAGAAACAAGAGTTCGAAGTGGTGACAGTGGACGTGAGAGGATGCAAAAACGCCCGCCTGACTAGATTGGGGTTCGGCCTTTGTCACGAGATCACGAAATCGAAGGACCGATACCGCTTGTCTCATCCAGTGAGTTCCTTTTGCTGTGCTTACTCTGGTCGCCGATGTGCACCGCACCGAGTTAAAAACGAACCACGGCCACGATCTAGGCGGCCGCAACCCAAACTTGCGGAAGGCTACGTATGCTTGTCGAGTGTGCTCGACATCTTAGCGAGTTCCGGCCTCCAGTTTGGTGGATCCTTCCGGGTAGGCAGTGAACTTCTGGATCTCCTTGGTCTGCGTCTGGGTGCGAGCTTCCAGGGGCGTGTCTGGCCTTTTGTCACGTGCATTCAAGCTGCGTCAGCCCACTGTTTCAGCAGATTTGAAGGGGCCAGTACCTAGCCAACGGAATGCTCATGAATCAACACTCGCAAGCAGAAAGGGGATGAAAGGGGAAGCTTGCACATGGTCGCGTGCAAGCCGGCTGCAAGTGTTGCCCTTGACTTGAAGAAGTAGGGTTCGCTCTCGGCTGGCAGGTGTAGCTGGCAGTCGCGAGTGCCAGCACTAGCATCGATGAGGCCAATCATTGTGGCGGTCTTGCCGTAGCCGGGTGCATCCCCGAGTATGCCGCCTTATTTAACTCCACAGCTGCCAGAGATTTCAGAAAACTTTGGGATATCGTGATATCTTGACCACATGTGCTGCGATTCGAGCCTCGCAAGATCACGGACTGCCGCTGTCGAAGCTCCAGCTGCCACCCAAGCTGGGTTGACGACTTGGCCTGGATGTTTGATACTGCCAGGGGCTCCTCCTTGGTTGCTGTGCTATGCTTTGCAAGTCAGAAGGAACCTGTTTTACGGCGAGGTCCAAGCTGCAAGGGCCAGAGGGTCCACCCTGACGCGGTGCAGCGTCAAGTCGAAGAGTTCCGTCTCGCATTCACGCTGCTGCATCCAGTACAGGGACCTAAAGTATTGCATCGGCAGGAGTGTTCTGTGCATCACACAGCATTTAAATTTAGACTTTAGACAGACAGAGCTCTCCCCGTCACACGTCCTCGCCTCAGTTGCTCCTGACGCAGGGGATATCGCCGAAAACTTGGCGGCTGCGCAGCAGCGGGGTCCAGTCCTCGCTTTCGGGCGAGGACTCTGCAAGTTCCTCCTCCAATTTACGGCTGGTCGGGGCAAGCCACTGTTATTCTGCAGCTCCAGCTTGAACCGCTTGATAGATTGCCGTCGACTCCGCGTGGCATGAGCACCGGCACTGGCAGCTCGACATTCGAAGACGCTTTGCGGCTGAGACACACCTCTCGCAGCTAGCGGCTTCTAGCGGCTGCAGCTGCTGCAACTGCAACTGCAACTGGAAAAATGTCACCAGCTCAGGATAGCCGGCACCTTCTCTGTTCACGGCAAATGCTGCAAGGTGACATGGAAGCTTGCTGCCCGGCAGGTGCTTGAAGCATCCGAAGACGGTATCAAGGTTTAGGAGAAGCCTCGCGGCAGACCGCAGGCAAACAGCCGCGACATCGGATACAGCTCCGGCCTCGCTGACACTTGCTGCCCGCACTGCGACTCCGACTGCTCTCCCGCTCGGAAGAGCCATCTACCAAGCGGACGTCCTTAGAATGCCAAACCGAGCGCGGGCAGACGCACGACATGGTGACTTCTATCCGAGTTGCGCCCAGGTTTCGATTCTGTTCCGCCAAGTGCAAGGATTTCTGCCGGAATCTTCAAGGCTTGCCATTCAAGAAGTCCGGAGAGCTGCTTCCGCCCAGGCAGGACCACCTTGAGAGACAACGCCATCGAGGCTTTTTCAGGAGGGAGTGGAAGCTTGCTTCTGCTCTTCTGCTCTGATTTGGCTGCATAGCCAACTCGATGCCTCGTGGCCTTCAGTCCGCAGGGCCTCCTGCAAGGCCGAGAGTCCGCTCAAGGAGGCTTCGCAGGAAGCTGTCCTGACACACAGGCGTCCGCATGCGACGGCTTCGTCCGGCTTCTCAGAACGTCGGAGGATGCTGCTTGAAGCAAGATAACGTTTCACGACAGATCGAACGACTTGCGCTTCCAACATTCCAGTCGAGTTGCCCATTCATGCCTCAACGACCGGGCCAGGCACCATGCCAAGAGTTGCAACTTCTATATAACTAGTACTTCTTCGTGGGGTGCCGATGCTATTTCTTTTCCTCTGCAGGACTGAGGCCAGTGCCAGAATCTTCTGGGATGCTTTTCTCCAAAAGCAGCCGCACAGCGCGAGCCATTGAGTGGTCCTAGCAAGGCACGGCCCGGTGCTCATCGTCTGCAGCTGTCGCTAAGACCCCTGGCCTCGCAGATCTCTGCTTTTCTCTTGCTTCCTCCTGTCACCATCAACATCGACGTGAAATCTCACAGCCCCCTTGTTGAGTCCTGGCAAGCTTTGGGATTTCGCGAGCTGGACAGGTATGTCCATCTCGTGTAGAACTTGCGCCGCGTTGCTTTGATCAGGCCTGTGAATTCGAGATGCTGGGGCCTGTTTGCCTTTGTGCAGACGACGGCACAGCTGGCCTTGATGCTCTGGAAGGCGTCGGAAGGGAGATCCTTGTGGCAGGAGCTCTGCCAATCAGATCACGTTTTGTGCGTGTTTCTGGTTTAACTCTACTAACTGTCACATGAGTCCACCGCCAGCCTAAGCACGACTCCACGCAAAAGACTTTCATCCTCTGACATTGTCGCGGCTCTGTGGGAGGGTGTTAGCGCTCGACTCCGCAGACTCTGCATCTTGCGTTTTTGCCCGCTTGCCTTGGGAACGACGTCTTCGCTCCGTTCAGCTGGAAATGACTTAAACTTAGAGTGATCCTGGAAGCCTCTCAAGCCTACACCTTTGCAGCTCCGCGACTGAGCCTTGCCAGCAGCGGGGAAGCCGAAAGTACAGAGCACCCCGCAGTCTCGCAGGCCTTCTGATCGTCCGGCGATGCAGTTCCATGCAGATAACCTGCACATCGACTTGCTCAAGAAGATAACAAGCGAGTCCCAAGGAGGCGTCCCTGGTGCTGCCGTGCTGCCGAACACATCGCTAGAGTCCAATGCACGATGGGCTGCCGATGTTTGCATAGCACGGGCAATGCAGCATTGGCCGCCGCGGGCTCGTGACGGTCGCACAGACTTGAGCCAGACCTGACAATGGCATAATGGGACTGCCGGTGTGAGTGGGTGCCATCTCCTGAAGAGCGAGCCCCGAGCTCGGCGACGGCATCTCGCGGCTCACTTTCGAAGCGCAGGTCTTGCCCAACCCGGCCGTAGCCGTGGGTCTCGACCCTCTTACGAAGCCCCGCGGCTTTCAGGATTCTGAATTTAGAAAACGGGATTCAGAAACCTTGTGCCCCAGGCTGAGTAAACTAAACAGATAACGACAGTCTCGCCAAGCTTGCACATTGACAAAATCGCTTTCGGCTCGACTGACTTGCCAGAGATCAACAAATCAACGTGTTGAGATATGATCTCAGTCAAATATGCACAAACAGGCTGTGAAAAGTTCCCTGCATCGAATCTTGTTGCATGGTGCACGCAGCTGAAACTCCAGACTTCGTCAGAAACCAACTTCCACGAATCGCAGGAAGGGGCTCAGGATGCCGGAGCAAAGTTCTGCGGCTGCTCCCATTGAGTCGCATTTGTCTCCTGACATAGCATGACACTGAAACTGGAACCAGAATAAACCTAAACCATAGCGGCCCGTCCGTGTTCCAGTAGTAGTGTCGGCGATACTCTTCAGAGTAAACTTGCTGCCAAACCGAACCGGGTTGAGCTTGGGCTGGCGGAGGAACCGCCGATTCACCTGCACCGAAACCGAAGCACCCAAGACGATAGAAAACTCTCTCCCAGAACATCATGTCTGGGGCCTTGCAGATCTTCGCTGGGGCGCGTGGCGTCCTCTGTGCGCGTATCGGTCTGGATCCTGGAGAGGAAGGGTTTCGGGTCTCGGCCCCGGCCTTAGCGTGAGCCAAGCAAATGTGAATCGGTTTACCGCGATGCTCCATGAGCCCGTGCGACCGCTCACAAAAACTCTCCTCCCACTGCCATGGCAGCAGATAGGTCGTCGTCGTCGTAGTAGCAGCAGCAGCAGCAGAAGTTGTGACCAGTGACCAAGTTGTGGCAGGAGGAGTTGTAGCAATGAGTAGAGCTGTAGTGGTAATAACAGTTGTTGCTGTTGCTGCTGTTGTTGCAGTAGCAGTGCCAGCAGCAACATTGCAGCAACAGCAGCTGCGGGTGGCGGGGAGCCTCGCATACTACAGAATGGAACCCTAAAACTTACATCGCAAACCGCAAAGCCCTAATCCGTGTGAATTTATATTCTGGGGTCGTTTTTAAGATTTCGTGGGTTGCGAAAACCAGGACTTTACTTTGATACCCTGAGCCCTAAATACCTAAACCCTGAGCCCCTAAACCCTCGGCCAGCACAATCTGGTGTCCTCTCTGCGAGCTCATCGGCTGAAAGGACCGCCGTCTTGCTCTCGGCCCACGCAAGCCAGTCTGGCCATCTCGAATGCGCGGCTTCACCTCGGATGCGGAGCAACAATCAGCATACCACTGCCGGCTCTAGAGCATCGTGCAACAGACCTCTGCGAGTTCAGCCGAACTGCTCAAACGAAGTGTGTCCGCATTTCCGAAAACGATGAGACCTGCGAGGCTACTTGCGTGAAACGTAGGAACGACAGCCTGTGGCACGCCATGCACCTTGTTTGGCACGAGTCAGCATCACATTCATCCGCCGGGTGTCTGCCAAGAATCCTGCAGCTACGCGCGGGCACACAGACAATGCAAACCCCCACTGTACACTCCTGTCTCTGGATACTGTGAGCCGGGAAGACATGAAAGAGACACATGACATGCAAGAATACAGCGCCAGCAGGAAAGCCCCCAAATCATACTCCCCCAGTCCCAAAGCGCGAGACTCGTTGCTGCGCGTGGCGCTGAAGAGCACAAGCCCCTGTTCCATTCCCTGAGACGGGGGCAGCTAGCGCCCCTTCTTCGTAAGGTTGGAGTTAATCTTGTTCTTTGGGGGCGGTCCGGAACATTTTCCTGGTTTGCGATCGGGATCGAGTCAGTTTGGCTTGCTTGTCTCTACCAGTACGGCTCTGCTACCATCATGTTACAGGCCACCTGATAACCATCCACAGTGTCGACAGCGACGTGGTGCAAGTAGCGGCCAAGCCCACGGTCACGCAGCACGCGAATTATCTCCTTCAGACTTGCAATCGACGTATTCACATGGGGTTCTATGAACAGACCGTCTCATGTGATACCCACCCAGCCGTGCCACCATGTTCGGCATGGTCCAATCTCACTGGATAGGCTAGGCAGCGCGCTGGCGTCAAATTGCGTCCTGCTTCTGTGCCATATAAGCAGTCAGCACCACAATCTGATCTTCAGGGTAGCCAGCACGGATGATTCCATGCAACACATCGACCAGGGTTTCCGCCTGCACTGCACGGTGTAAAGTCATGCCGGCTGCATGCGTGCACAAGCATCAAGGAACTGGACATCTCTGCAGCTCTACCAGCATCCGCACGTGCTCTGTTCTCACCTCTCTACATCTCTGGAAGGCCTCGGCAACGTTGAAAGCTGAGAAGCCACGACGGCTCTCAAGCATGGAGGGGCCCTTTGCCACATCTACGAAGCAGACTCTGCAGTCCTCGGCTTTGGCTGGGTCTCAACGGGAGCTCTTGATGCACATGGTTCCGGACCAACTGCTTCTTCGAGGCAGGAAACCGGATTTGGCCATGGGAAGCCCGGTATTGCGGTCAGCTTTGCATCATCTGCGGCATTTATCAATCTACCTGGCATCTGATTCTGAATGTTCTTTCTTCTTGAATCCAGTGCTGCTAGGGCAAGGGCAAGGGGACCAGGCACCTTGCCTCCATAGAACGCACTGTTGGGAAACTCTGCGATGGAGTTGTGCATTCTCCGCTGCTCCAAGAGGACTGTGGGCTCAAGGCAATTTTGGTTTGCCTCTGTGGTGCAGACAGTGCTCCGTGCGAAATCTGCAATGCAATGCAAAGGCTACGAAATCAAGCCGAGCCGCCATTCGCTCGAAAAGGCTAGTGCTCAAACCCTCGTGGCTTGCGGCTTTGGATAGCACAGTGGCGGGAAGCTGAGCGTGATCACCAATCAGGACCACCTTCTGATCAACATAGCCATATGATTGGCGCTGCTGAAAGTTGCATCAACCGAAATCCACATGCATGGCTTGCCGGCTTGCCTGCTCGCATCGCCGCCCGAGAGCCACGAGCACTGCTGGCTCACACGCCTGAGTACACTCATCGACCAGGACGCGCTGAAATGATCCGCCTCGGATGTGCAAAAGCGCTGCTGCAGCAAGAGGCGAACATTGCCTCACTGCGTTTCGGCAGCTCTGCATGCTGCAGGGGAGTTGCCAAAACCCTTAAATTTGAGAATCTCTGTGCCGCTGCCAATGCATGTGGCCACCACCACCGTGGCCTATAGTCAGAAGAACAACTGCGCAACAAACTGGTGGATGAAGACTGTGGGAAGCAAACAGGTGCGTAGCTGGGGCACCGGCCGCCGGAAGCTGTCTCCTCATTTCGGCAATATCATTTTCGGCCTGCTTGCCCTGTCCAACCCGCACACTGTGGATTCCTGGCTCTTCGGGGCTGCATCGATGCCAGTTAGGCACGCAAACGGAAACCCACATCTGCTGTGAATTGGCTGCAGACCGTGGCAGAGTTCAGAAGCAGAAAATGCACTCATCCAAGGCGCCCATTTTGTTCAATCTTACCTGGCTTCGGGAAAGCTGCTGCGAAGTTCCCCCCCGCCCTGTATACGTTTGCCCGACCTCCGACAGGAAGCTAAGCCTAGAGCACCGTTGCACAATGCGGCGTCTATGCGGCAGTCTGCTCTTCCAAGCTGTTGTGCACAATCCGGTGACTCTTGAAGTTGCAAAGGCTTAAAGGCTCGACTTCTCGGTTTGCGAGGGTCGCAACAAAACCGAATGCTGTCGGCGGCAGGGTCAGCAAGAATAAACAACAAGACATAACAAGACCAGCTGAAGATCTAAAGACTATTCGAACTGGCAGTCAAAACTGGAAGAAATGGGCATATGCAATTGCTGCTCGTCACTGATCATTGGTCTCAGCCGTCGCCAGGTACCAATTCGGAACGAGAGTGAGAGAAACGCCGGGAAACAACGTATTGATTGCGATGAGATCCGAAGCGAAGTATCACAATAGACAAGTGTGAGAAACAGAGTCTCGAAGCAGCAACATCAACTTTGAGAGCGCAAAGCACAGGACCCCGGCAACATTGGCAAAGCACCGAAACAGCCAACGAGTGGACCGGAGGATTGCAAGAGTAGCTGGACCTACAATCTGAACGCAGCTGCAATGCAAAAAGGTTGTCTGCCGCCACGTTCGAATCGGCCACTGCCAGGATGCGCTCTCCCAGTGGTGCGAAGATGGACGCCCAAACTGCCAGGATGGCCTAAGTCTGCCGCCACAACCCACGACCCTTATCCCCAAGGGACTGTGCTACTGTACGGCATGAAGCAGTTTGGGCGGGTGTTCTACGGGTGCTGGCCGTCGGCATGGGGAGGGTCAGAACTCTGAAGTTCATCTGCGCGGCACAGGCCACGTGCGTTTTCCCTGTGCCAGGTGGACCTGGTCAGCTTGGAGTCACCGTGCAGGCTATGCGCTCAAGCGGCCTCAACGCTAAACTTGCCGTGATTAACTTATCTAACTTGAATTTAATAAACAGCTCCCATATGCTTGTGGCCTTGGATCAGGCTCAGCCGCTGCTGCAGCGACTTTGTGACAGACTCGCGCTGCGAAGGAGTCAAAGACTCGATGAGCGGCTGCTCTGCGGCCAGTCTCCTGGCTTTTGATTTTCATGCGTTGGCTCGTGACAATTCACTGAGTCACTACAAGCCTTGCACTTTGTCTCCAAGTAGCTCAAGGTGTTGTGCAGCCAGCTCCTGGCTGAGCCCGCCTCGCGCAGTTTCTTCAGCCAAAAATCGCGCATCATCGGCTTCTGCCAGAATTACTTCGCGAATGGCATCCGAAAACCTCAGACAAGAATGCCATGCTCAGAAACATGTGGAAGCATAAGAACAGGAAAAGAGACGAAACAAGCAAAGATGTGTGCGAGCCAGGGCGACGCATATTCGGGCTTCAGGCCGTCGAAATTCTCGCTGAACACCGGCAGCTTGACTTGTGTTAGGTTACGGAGCGCATCCAACTGCCGACTCATCGGGGTCTCCAATGCCTTGGATGCGTGGCATCAGCTCTGCCCTCAGCAACTCAGGGAAACTTAAACGAAGAACTCAAGGTGCAGCTGGGCCACGAGGAAGTACAAACGGAACTGCCTACCGATCGTGATGGGTGATGCCCTGCCGGAAGGCAGCAACGATCCCAATCCCAACAACTCAAGCACTGTGGTACAGGGCATGCGGCCGTGAGCCTGGGATGCCGCTCGTTCACCTCTGCGCCTCTGATGTCGGAACCAAAGTCTGAGATTCGGCGGAGGTGCAGCTTCACCTGGCCACGAAGGCCACTTGGCTGCTCGGGACTGAGGTTCATCGGCTCTCTTGAAAGATCTTGAAACCAGATTGTTGAATGCCATACACTGGCCACTATGATCCTGCGGGCGGGTTTGCTTTGTCGACAACCGAAGGATCAACATGAGATGGTGCTAAGTTGGTTGAAAATCTGATGTCTTGCCGACGCTCGTTCACAACCATGGCGCGGACCTGTCCTTCCCCTCTGCTTTGTGCCGTCTCTGGCCCCTCATACTTAAGGCATGCCAACCAGAGTGTTCTGGGACCAATAGCTCTCAATGCGGTAGTATGCATTTCCATCAGTAGACTCATAAGACCTCACTAAGCAGTCATTCGTGATTTTGCTCGCCGGCTAAGAACGACTGTGCAAAAGATTTCGCTAAACGCAGCCATTGCTGTCATACAGTTGCGGATGGCAAACTCAAAAGCCTTTGAGAATCTGTGGCCTCTTCATCCAAAGCTGGATTGCCAGCCAAGCTTGTCACGATGGCCAGCCAAGCTTCCGGGTGCTGCCACCCTGTGCTGTTTCCCATCCTTCCGAGAATGGTAATCCAGAGGGCAGTCCCAGGCACTTTCGGCTAATTTATAAACCTGATGAAGGAAGCCCGCTTGAGTAGACAGTCCCGGCGGCCAGGAGATTTGCAGGTTGCTTGACTTTCCATTGACCCCTTTTTCATCTTTTTCTGTAACAGTAAGGCCGTAAAACTTTTTTCATAAGCACCCCGACGTGACTAGACAGGCCCAGCGCCTGAGTCCTTCAAGAAAGTGCCAATGCAGACCCAGTAAGTAAACAGCAATCCAAAGAATCCAAAGGAAGCCCTACTGTGACCCAAACCCCAACCTTTACGCTGCTACTACTCCTCACGTTACTACTGCTGCTGCTGCTGCTGCAACTACTGCTACTGCTACCACCACCACCACTAGCACTATCTCTACCACTGCCACCGGTACGACCGTTACTGTACGAACTACTGCACTGTCAGTGGACTACTACTGTACTACTACTACACTACTACTCTACTGCTTCCGTACTTGTAACCGGACTACTGTACTAACAACTTGAACTACTGCTCGACTGTGCTGCTACTGTACTACCACTGTCCCCCAACCCCAGACAAGGCTCGACCATCTAATCAGGATCTGGAGGTTTGGGGGGTCTTATGAACCCCCTTTGTGAATCAGATGCTTACATTACATTACCCCATGAAATTATGAGCGAGCACGAGACAACCCAACAAAAAACTCTTCGAAGGCAAAGCTGCTCGGCATCTGTGTCGGTAGCATCGTTTCTTGACGGCTCTTCTGCAGCCTCGCTGGGAACGAGCAGCACCAAATCCGCCGGCTTCAACGAGCGATGGCCCTGAGTCGCAGCAAGAAGGGTTGCGACTGAAGCACGCATTCTACCTCCTCTTGATTCGGCCTCCATCATAGCGAAAATTTCGGTACCCGGTGGTGCCGTCAACACGACCTGACTGGCCTGCTCAGGTCCTACTGTACGAAATTGGGGCTCGGGAGTTTACTAGCAGCTGGCTAACAAGCATGCCACCGTGGACTCAGTTGCCAAGATCGTATACGATTGATGCCTCGAAATGATGCACTTCCAGGGTCGGAACACCCGCTTGCCCGTCGAGGTCAAGCTCATATTGCTGAATACCGTGCATCAGCCTCAGGTACCGAAGATGTTTAGCAGTCTGGGAAGCCTTCTTTAGACAGCCGTAGCAGCAGCAAGAACAGATAGCCAGCTTAAAGCAAAACAAGCTATTAAATTACTCGCAGCGATGCTGGAAGAAACTATTGCCAGAGATAAAAAACAAGTTCAGAAACCAATACCATCAAGCTGTGATGTGCTGACAGGGAACCCTCCATGGCGTTCCAATGCCAGCAGGTGCCTGAACCGTCGGAAGTAGTCCTTTCTGCAATAGTCAATCAGTACCAGCACAGTCAACTGCGGCGTGAACACATTTGGGGAAGCCCATCGGATTTCCAACTGTACATGAGATCCTTCTCAAGCGCGCGGGGGAAGGAGTCCGCAAGCGTGGCGCCTTGCGCAAGTGGCGTCCGCGATGTGCTGAACAGCGACCCTTCAACAGATTTCCCTTGCCGCCTCCAAGCTGGCGCAAGGCTGGGGATGCCATGAAGTAGTGGCGCACGGAAAAGCTGGCCTGCTCACAGCGAGTTTGCCAGCGTTCTCCCCCCCAAACCGCCTCAACAGACGTGAGGTGCATATGCAAGCTCCTCATCCAGCAAGGATTCCCACAGCTCCACGGGCATTCCAGAGTCTTGGACAAGCCGCAAAGCGTTACCCAGCAGCTCGTGCATAGATGCAAGGTCGCCTGCAGCCGCAGCACAAGACTTCAGACAAGGCTTAACACCACATGCCACGGCTTTCCATGTGACAAGTGGTGGCAGGTTCGAAGAGTTTTCTGGACTCTCCGAATTATGGGCTCAAATGGCCTTCCCCCAAGACCGCACGGAACACGTGTGGCAGAAAGAAAGACCATGCCACTGGTTCCGTCTGATCCAGCAGAGACATCGTCTTGTCGTAAGCATCCTACAGGCGAACTGCCCTTGCACGATGACTTTCCATTATGCGTAGCCTACTGCAGCTCGCAAGTGGCAGGATTGCCTGCGAATGATTTTCGGTTGGCTTCATCGAAATCTCGAGTATACCCAAGCCACGACCCCACCATGTGTCAACTTGGCGACAGCATGCGACAGCAGTGTCCTGGACGCGTTGTTCCCTCAATGCCAGATGAACTTCGTCAATGGCTTCCTGCTGTGCGGAAGGGATCTCCACCAAATGACCCTGATTGATGAGCATCTTCTGGTTCGCGGCAGCCTCGACATGGGCATGATGGGATGTCATCGGGCAAAATTGGGCCTAAAGACGAAGCTGAGACATCATCCAACTGCGCATGCAAAATGTCCACTGAATCTGCCCCCGCATTGCATCTCCAACACTACAAGTAGCTGCGTTGCTGCGATTGCGTTTGCGTCTGACCTTGTGGCCGAGGGATCCTGTAAGCATGGACTGACAACAAAGACACTCAGTTGCCTGTGCAATGGGGGACGCTCCACTGCGATGTGCAGAGAGCGTTTCCAAGCGCAGAACGTGTGAACATTCGCTCCTTTACTTTCATCAAATACGGCGCGCATGTGCTTGCACTATAGTATATAATTTTAAGTAGGTTATACACACCTCTTCACCTACATCGCCTGAACTTACATGCACTTACAAAGACTAAGAGCTTCTTGTAGCGACATTTGTTCTGTCGTAACGGGAACTGAAGCAACACAACCGTCAATAGTGATGCGCCAGTAAAACAAGACAAGACTTGGGTGGCAATGCATCCGTTTTGTTCGAGCAGCCCTCATCCTGCCGCATCCTTTGCAATCCGTTCCGAAACGGCGGCTTACACCGTTGACACGAGCACAATGAAGCACATAACAAATCGTCAAGAAGAAGGGGACGGGCACTTCAGAAGATGTCCCACTAAGCCACATTATTGGCACTAGCTGCACACCAAATGATACGAGCTGGTGCACCAGCTCTTCCATTTTAGGACAGCTCTGGCCCCTTTTGGCTTTGAGAAATATACGGAAATCGAAAAAGACATGCCTTCCAAATGTGCACTACAGGCTGCAGGCAGATTTGCCATGTCACTGCATGACCCAGCATGACCCTGCCTTGGATGCAGCCTTGGATCGTTCCACAGCGCTTACCTGTACAGTTTTCATCTCCGCCTGGTCATAGTCATAGTACGTCCATGTCAGGGTGCACTCCTGAGGGCCACAGTGATGCAGCAGCCAGGTTGATGTGCACGGCCGGCCGAGTGAAACGCGGAAGGTAGAACCGGCGAAACACCCCAATCCCAACCTCGAGCAACCCCTGGCAAAAACTAGCTGGCAATGCCTGAATCCATGCGGAGCAAAGCAAGTACAGCAAAGAGACTGAAAGGTTCAAGAAGCTGATCTGAGCCCATATTTATGGCCTGTCTTGAGGGTCCTGCATGTGGTTGCCGGGTGGGTGTTCAAGAGGGTTGGTTTGGGCAGGGCAGAAGCAGGCGCACTTAGCAAAAGCAGCTGCGCAGCAGATAGCTCTTCGTGGTTGGAATTCGACGGCGAGCCATCCGTGTTGCCGCTCTTGTCGATGGATGCCTTTCCCTGGCTCGGCAACTAAGGGACCTAGTACTGGGTTTTTTAGCTGTGCAGCCGAAACCTACTGTGGCGTGTTTTTACTTTTTACATGTTTTTACGTTTTGATCTTTTTGAAGTGTTGGAGGGCTGCATGGCTGCTCGCAACCCCCCCCCCCCCCCCCCCNNCCCCCCCCCCCCCCCCGTCATCCCGGCTACTGCTGCTCGACAGATCTCGGCAAGCGAAACGACAGCGCTCAGCCCGGCGCAACTTGTCCGGGTGTGTGGACATGGAAATCCCAAGCAGCCTTCGCAAAGGAGAGCCACTTCATCCAGCAGAACATCTGCAACATGCAGGCCTTGATTTGAAGCTTCTGGGTAGCGGTGTTGTGCATAGTGTTGATCTCCCCATGTCGAGCTTTGTTGACAGGCCTGACCTGCAGGAAGAATCAGACAGCGACCGGCATGCATCTGTTCGATCTAGACATACGTCTATCTCACCCGCAGAACCTCCTCATTGCTTGCAGCAGGCTTGGCTTTGACCTGCAGATAGATCTCCTAGGTTGCACAATTTGGGAATCAGGATCACTGCTACCTTCTCTTCCTCTGCTTGTGTCCTCCAAAGCGCTTGGGAGGCTTTGGTAGAGGGCAGCGAAAGCGTTCCTCCGCGACTCCGTCGCCGCTCGCGCCGAGCCAGTGGCAACGACTTCACCCTGGCCAAGTTGTTGCGGAAGCAGAAAGGGAGACAAGTGTTGACGGTGACCACGTCTGCGTGGCAGCGTGCCTATTTACACTGTATCGCCCTCTGCCTTACCTGCCGCTGTACGTGCCACCTCGATCTGGGGACAGGTCCAGGTGCAGGTATGGCTTTGCTGCCGCGAGCCACCTGTTTCATCGTCCTGGCGAGCACGCAGGGCAACTGGCACACACAGCATCCTTCATATCCCGTCTCGGCAGCAGCCACCTCTTTGCATTCCAAGGTGGCATCCAAGTCTTCACTCAAAGACCCAATCGCCTCAAATTGATCTCTCAATCTCTGTTCTGGCGGAGCTTATTTTGGCGACTCTCGCCCAGCTGTTCCCACTGTGGTACGAAGCGACATCCGAACCCTAACTTGCATCCAAATTCGGTCTCTCGCGGAAAGACTCAACTGACTCTGCGAAAAGAGTGGCCCATTGCGCAACGGCTCCGTTCTGTCGCGGATCTAGAGTTGATGCCTGAGAACGTAGCAAACATGCATCGTCATGGGAGCTCCGCAGTGTTAGAAGGCTCATTCCTTGTGCTGTTCTGCCCTGCGCGCAATTGATGTTTCCTCAGGCCTCCTCATCGATGAGGAATCTAAGGACTTGTCGCGCAGCTTCGTTCTTGGCACCACGTTTACTTCGATGTTTACCCTCGCTGGAGTACTCTTTGTCCTGCCAAGTCCACCTGAGAAAGCACCCTGTGACCCAGTCCACTCACAAGCAACCGTGACGTCTCCGAGTTGCTTCAGCGTGTGGGTGAAGTTGGAGGTCGCTTCCTTCGGATTTGGGTGTATGCGGTGTGGTGACTGCAGATTGCTCCATCATGCTCGAAACTACGAGTAAAAGGAGAGCCCAAGCGATGAGACGAGCGGCGCAGCGTCCCGTTGCTTGTTCCACTTGGGGGCGGATTTGATTCTGCACCACGACATAGCACGGAAGGACATTGTCGGCCTTCTGCACGATCGTGGCTATGGAGACCTCCAGGGCGGGAATGGGCGGGTCGTGATCCGTCTTGCGTTTCGTTTGGTGCGGCACCAGAACCTGGAATCGGTTGCCTCGGAAGCGATGTCTCCTTGCACGGACTTGAGTTTTGAGTTTTGAGTACAGTCCATCACGGCCCATTTTAAGCAGTGCTAAGCTTGGTGCAGGTGCGGCGCAGCAAGAATCCGCTGCACGCGTCGCTGCATTTGAGAACTACCAGTGTGGACGATTGATGACTGTTCTCAGTGGAATATCGTTTCAGCGATTTGGGACATGCAGTTCACATGCTCTTACACTGGGTGGATGAGCCGGAAGCGTCCAAGGCGGCAAGATGAGTGGACCCCAAGAGCTTTGCCATGTAGCTAATGACTTGGAGCCAGCATTGCCCTCTGCTCCCCCCCCTTTGCTCAGCACACGAAGTCAGGCCGGCTGTAGAACCCGGAATGTCCCGCGACTTCCGCAGCTGCGTGCAGCATAGCTCAGCAGGAGGGAGCTTCGCACCTGGGTCAGATCTCTAGCCACGCGCTGCAGCACTTGGCTGAGAAAGTAGTCTCAACGTGCCGGCACGCTGCCTCCTGCAACAGCTGTGGTACTGCTGCTTGGCCCAGGCCGGATCCATAGCACGCCTGGGCAGCGTCGCAGCATGCAACGAAGTCGATCGCCATGCGGAGATCTCCTGCACCATGAATGACATGAAGCAGTTGTCAAGCGCCCGTGCCAAGCGTGCAGGAGACAAAACATGACAGACTCATGGTGTGGTGCACGGCACTGCACATACCCTGTTTGTCGAGTGGCGCATTTGTTGCAGGACCTGCAGGGAGGGGAGGGCAAATGAAGTGCTAACGCTATTCGCCCGCATCACAGGTATCCCAGCCACTGCGACGATCCCTGCCTGAAGGCACTGGAGCCACTGCCGAGCAACGGAGCAAGCGGTCAGAACAGCAGCACAGGTAATGATGCCGAGTTCAGCCCTGACGCTCTGCTCCAGGAGTGCCTGTCCAGCTGCAGCCGCTTTGGGACTAGGCTGACTAGGCCTGCGCACAGCCGCCCTTTTAGGGGAAGCCTCATTAGCCAAGCAGCAATGGCTGCAAGCCAGTTCCCCCGGCAGGCACTCAGTGCCGATGACCGCTTCACCACGTCGGGCTCCAAATTGAACCTCGAAGTTCCGAAGGGTCAGTGGGCTTGTGGGGGCCGTTACGCAAAGGTCAAGGCCGGTGCAATCGCATCCTCTGCAGCAGCTCGAGGGCTCCGCTCCAGTATCGGACGGTCTCGCAAGCGTTGATCGAGGCACCGCAGGCGTCGTCAGACAGACGCCTCGGCCTCTCTGAAGGAGCAGGTACTGCACTCTTGCACTGCAAAAAGTCCACGTCTCCTCGGGGCTCGCAGCAACCATAGTGCCGACTGCCACTCCTTGCAGCGACCACAAGCACCTGAAGTGCGGGACCACCGTGAAACTGTCATGGTACTTACAAGCAACAAGACAAATCAAACAACATCAAGCATCTCTTCTTCCGGTTCAGCAGGGATACTGATACTAGTTGCACGGCTGATGTCGGTTGGAGTCAACCTCCTTGCAGGCATCAAGCTCATGAGCTGGAGAGCGCGATTCCAAACTGCACCGCGACCGCATCCACTGATTAGCATGTTGCATGCTGGACCTTGGTGTAGTGGCTTTGCACGTGCAGCCATGTGCAGCCCATATCCGCCCAGGTCAAGCAACAAAGACGGAACGATAAGTAATAAGAGTCTGGGTGCCATCCTCGCAAACGCCGTGCATGTCCTGCATCCAGCCACTGAGTGTCAAAGCCACCTGCCATTCACCAGCTCTCCTGACATGCCAAAGCAAAAGCCGCTTTCTCAGGCAGAGTCGCTGGTTGCTTTCTTTCTGCTACCAGAACAAGACCCACATGCCAATGCATGCAAGCATTCGATAGCATGCATTTGCCTGCATACTGCTGCCGTGCTTTGTCCCTGCACTCTATCCTCGTTTCCTGTGGAAGTAGACCACCGCTACACCGGGGCCGAAGTTGCCCTGGCTCTCAAGAGTTCCAGCCAGTGCACAGGCACTGGCTTTCGGCAAAAACGTTCTACGTCCGCCCTTGCTCAGAGTCGGGCAGCGGGTGCTGGTTCGGGCACCGTCGAGGGCCGAAGACACTCTTCCAATGCGCTCATCAGGGCATGGACTTGGTCTTCCGTGTTGTGCGCATGCAAGATGATTCGCAGCCTCTCCGTCCCAGCTGGAACTGTGGGCGAGCGGATGGGCAGAACATCAAACCGGTCTCTGAGACGTCTAGCAACGGCAACGCACGCTGAGTTGCCTGGAACGATGAGCCCCTGAATGGGGGAGTCGCTCTGCAAGACACGCTCCGGTGGCAGATCAGCAAGTCTTTTCTGGAAGATCTGTATGAGCCTCCGTAAATTTTCTTGGCGCTTCGAGGCTTCTCGACGCATGAAGGCATACGCACACCGAATGGCCGCGAGCGAATGCAGTGGCAAGGATGTGGAATACACCAGTGGCCATGCATAGTTCAGGAGGTACTCACGCAGCACCCTTGGGCCAACAACCGCAGCCCCATGAACACCAAGAGCCTTGCCAAAGGTGTGCACCCGGCAGAAGATGCGGCTCTCAAGATCGAGTTCTGACACCAAGCCCCGCCCCTCTTTGCCATAGACACCAGTGCCATGAGCTTCGTCAACGACGATCGAGGCCCCGACCGACTCTGCAACGTCGCAGAAATCCTCCAATGGCGCACAGTGTCCATCCATGGAGTACACGGACTCAACTGCAATGATGATGTTCGGTCTCGTGCCATCGGGCCGGGTCCCTTCCAAAACACCAGCCACAGCTTCCCTTAGCGCGGTGACGTCGTTGTGGCGAAACTGGATGGATTTGCCACGACTGAGTTTCAGGCCCTCTCGCACCGACTGGTGGATCAGCTCGTCGTATACGACGAAGTCTCCCGGCTGGGGAACAGAGGCAAAGAAGCCGAGGTTCAAGTCGAAGCCAGAGTTAAAGATCAAGGCAGCCTCTGCTCCGTGGAAATTTGCGAGCTCTTCCTCCAATGCTTCGCAGTAAGCGGAATTCCCGGAGAGCAGGCGGCTGCCGGTAGATCCGAGTGGGGCTTCTCCGTGGTCTTTCAGAGTGAGCAATTCCTGCTCAACTTCCCTCGCCAGTTCGGTCGACATGGCGAAGCCCAAGTAGTCGTTCGAACAAAAATCGACTTGGCCGCCTGAGCGCTTGGAAAGCTGCCGCAGCAAGCCTTTGTCACGCCTCTTCTGCACCACAGCTCTCAGCGAAGTCTCCAAACTTCCGGAAGTTCCAGCCTGCAGATTTGAGCTTGCGGAGGAGGGCTTCAGCCGATGTTTTGCGCTCAAGGTCTTCTCGATGGACACTTCTGGTAAAGCGGTGTCCATCCGTGCACGGACGATGCTTCGACCATCCTGGTCGCGCATGTGGAAGAACACTGCCGACGGGGAGGGCACCGACCAGACGGAGATCTCGAGGGTGGAATCCAAGTTTGCCATGCTCAAAAACTCGATATAAAGAGAGAAGATGTCCTCCAGCCGTTCTGGGGCCTTCGCTGCGTGCCTGGCATCTTGGAGGTAGCCGATCAAGTTGGCATTGTTGACATGGCCATGTCCATCGATGTCGGAGAAGCGTGGCTTGCACATGTGCCGGAAAGGACTGTGATCGGGCTCTCTGCCCAAGTCTTTTGAAACATGTACGGCGCTTTGGGTGCAACTGCTTGAGTGGACCTCCATCCCATGAGCAGCAGGTCGCCCACTATCATTCGAGAAGACGATGATGGAGCTGGCGATTTGGCCAAGCAGCTTAGGGCTGTCGCCGCTCCTTTCGTGGTAGATGTTGTGCTCCAGGTCCAGCGACGTCTTCCCAAGCCGAGTGACGGCAGTGGAAAAGGCGAGGTGACTTCTGTAGTCCGTACAGCTGTGATACCTCCGCTGTTCGTGAAACACGAAACTGTGACTACGAATGACCCAGGGAGCAGCTCCAAGCTGAAAGGGGTGGTCTGCCGCCTCATCTCCCTGCGCCGCTTCTTCTGTGCTGGTGTTGAAGTAATAATCCTTCGCAGCATCAGCCCAGGTGGCCAGACTCGTGACGTAGGCCGTCTGCGTGCAACAGTTGGCCCATTGCGACTGAACGCGGTACATGTCTGCCTTTATTCGAGCCCTTCGGCATCAGAAAAGACCAGATCATTGATCATGAATCTGATTCCCACCCAATTAGCACTGTCCCCTTATTTATCTGTCAGCCACGTCAAGCCAAGTATCTCACAGTTTGAGGAGGCAGCACCAAGAGTGATTTCGTCCACGTTTGCCGTGTGACTGGGATGCTCTCCTCCAGACAGCATCCACTGCCCGACTAGGAGTGAAAAAACACACTATTCCTTTCGCATACACGCGTGCAAAAATAGCATAAGATGCAAGTATGCACAAAAGTCTGGTCAAGGGGGTCAAGGGATCCATCCTTGCCGTCGCCAGCCACACAAAAGGTTGAGAGCCTGCCCCCAATTGCCAGAAGATTGTCCGCAAGAGATTGCCTCATTGAGCAGGACCTCAACGTGCGGCACACGGCAACCCTGATCTTCATGCATTGGCTTGCAGCGGCCGTCCCCACAATCTCTCTGACGAGCAGCCACATTGGCAACCTTGACCTTGCAGGCGGCGGAAGGCGCCAACTCTCAGCTGGAATGCTGTTTGAAAGGCGACTTTCGTGTATGTCCAAGGGGCACGAAATATCTGCAAAGCAGCCTGCCACTGTTGACCCGTATCACAGGCGCGGATAGCCGATGCACGAGTCACCTCAGGGGCAGGCCAACATCCGTACCCTGCTGGGGTTGCATTGGGTCCTAGCTGTGCGCCGTCTTACAAGCGTCAACGCGTTCATGAATTGACCTCGTTGGCCGTCAGGCTTCGCTGAGGCAACCCCACGAAGCTGCTCAACGCCTGGGACGGGTGCGAACCGAGCCGACTTCGGGTGAACCGAGGGGGCCGATCGGGTCTGCCTTCTGCCAATGCGAACGGGCGCAGGCTGCGATAACCGCGGTGGCCGTGACGAGTGTGGCCTTCGGCGCCACGTGCTGCAACCACCCGCTTCCTGCAGAGTCGCCTCTATCAAACCCAGAAGAACTCATCTCAGGCACGCGGATGCTCAAGTCAATCATCGTCTGGAACAGAGCCAGCGCCTGCCCGCTGGAGTGCAGTGCACTTCTTTAAACTGCAGTGCCCACGCAGGCCTTCTGCCACTCACCACAAGCACTGATCGCTGCAGTGAGCGTCATCAACTCCAGAGGGGTGTAAAGCTGCCTTAGGTGCCAATGTGCAAACTTTGTTCAACTCATGCGTCTGGCGTCTGCCCCAGAACCCGAAATGGAAGCCAATTTTAGTTATGCTCCTGCTGTCCGTGCAATCCGAATCGTGTAGTCTTGTACTGCCGCCGAGAGATGCATGACTTCCAAATGCCTCATCACCAACGACCACGACCCACTGCCAGCAGGCACAGTGCCCAAAACGGCCACATAGCTCCTGTTCTTCTCTCAGCCACTCAGCATTCACCTCAGCCCCTGAAGCCAATCTGCACTCCAGCTGTCTGGCCGCAGCCCCGCAGTTTGCAAGTCTTTCAAGCACGTCAATGTCTCTCGCCACCTGTGAACGCGAGCAGGATAGCAAACTGCCAGGCTGTTGATTTGCAGACTGTGGGATCCGGGATACTGAGCCGGCCTGGCCGCACGCGTGCATGCAGACATAACGGAGTTCCGAGCAATTCGAAGGTTGCGGCTCCCAAATATCTGCATGTGCTGACCTTGCGAGTTCTCTCAGAAGTTCCGTCTGCAAAGAGGAAGAAGGATGTTGAGAACGTTTCAAACGCGCTGCCTGTTTGCAGGATGTCCAGAACCAAGTGCCACCTCCGGGCGCCGCAGGCTGTTATGGCTGAGTTGTACCTCAAATCCACAGCAGCTTCCGCTGATTAAGCAGGACACAGGAATTTCTGCGGCCGGGTTTCACCACGTCGTTTGGACACATGCGCTGTGGCTGCATGCCTGCAAGTGTACCGCAAGCGAGGCGGCACGGCTTAAGTAATCGAGGCCATGTAGGAAAGTCTGCTGAAGTCGCCGCCCTCATGCCTTGCAGGATGGCCAGGGACCTCACCCATTGCGAAGTCTTGCCGAGCTGGCGGATTGCCACGCTACCTGAGTCACGACACGAGTGAGGCAAGCATGGCCGCATGTGGCCAAGGTCAAGGGGCAGTCGTAGACATCCTCCAGGTCCAACTTCTCTGCGCCGCCAAAGGCCGCCGGCGAGAGGACCCTCATTCTGCTGGCCCATTGCCACAGGAAGCATGGATACACTTGGCTGAGCTCGGATTTCGATTCTTCTAGGCACCGGGGGTCACTCCTGAAGCACGGCTCGCTGCCGCCAGGCCGCTCCTTTCCTCCAGTGGTTACCCTACACCTGCATTCTTGACGACTAGACGAAAAGCACTGAAAATACTAACGTATTCCACAAAGGGAGAGCTAAGAAAGCAGCTCGGGAACACCCAAGTATACTTTGGGCTCAAGATGTCGGGGTGGCGCAGATGCTGCTGGCGTGGCTACTGCGGCCGCTGTTGGTGCCGATGGCGACGACCACGACAAGACAACGGCGAATAACGGCGACTACCACTACCCCATGTGTTTAATGGTGCCGCTACCCTCGGGGTAAGTACCAAGTACCAGGAGCATAACCACCAGAACTAGCACAGGCGCTAGAACCAGCACACTAAGCGGCTACCAACTACAATCCCAAGACTACCCTGCTGACAGGGTGCATGTCAGGTTAGCAGCAGTAGAAGTCGCACCAAAGAGGCACCCGAAAAGTCAACGGAAAAGAAGGCAAGCCACAAATCGGTTGTCTTTCAAGTCACAAGTAGTTATAGCCATAGCCCCATCTAGAAAGTGGTGCTACGGATGAGCGAGGAATGGGGGCCATGTCAGCACAGAACCCACTAGCCGTTACCAGCCTCTACAGTCTGCTCTGGACCGGCCTTTTTTTGCACACTCAACTTGCTCTCAAGTGTCTACATAGCATTGCAAGCCTAGGTATGTTCTAGAAATTAGGCTAGATCGAATCTGAAGTACCTGCATTGGGGTTAGCTTCTGCGCCCTGCTTTGCAGGTCTGGCAGGAGGGGCCCGCAAGAACTCGACGACGGCCTATTGTCATGTCCAGCTGAAGCAAAGCTTGGAGCTGTCCTGTGCACTTGCAGACCGTGATCTTTTGGCCGGACAGGAAAGGAGACAGTGCCGCGACTGTCTTCTCTGGCTGCGATGCAGTCACACAAATACACATGCACGAAGCCTAGTCTCTTACCAAACGTGCTTCAAGCAGAACTGCTTTGCAGTGAAGCACCTGATTCATCGAAAACGAAATCTGCAGCAAAATTTCTTTTAACATTAAAAGCAGCATCGACGGAAGCATCGACGGAGCCAAACCAAGAGTGCTAGGAAGTACGGGTAAGCTTCCGGCTCGTGCCACGACTCGAAGCTTCGCACCATCGTGCCGAAGACTCCCGGCGCCCAGATTCCCGAATTACTTTAAGGTGACACTCTCTTGTATCTCCAGCTCGCCTGACAGCCTTCTCACACCTTTTGCAATGTTTTCCGAAAGCCGGGTCCCGACGGCCACAGTTTCCGAGGCCTTCTCGACCACCTCACTGACAAAACACAAGGAATGTAAGGAGCACTCTCAGAGTACAGTACGGTCGAATGGTGCCCGCAAGCGACGCTAAAGCCAAGTCACCTGCCACACTCGAGCATGACCGTCCTGTAAAGCCTTGGCTTTAGGACTGCAGGTGATTCGGGCATCAACCACTCTGATGCTTCGTAATGGGTTGCCTAGGGCCTAAGTGCCGTGCTTGACCTCATTTGTTGAGCAGGCACCAACGAAACTGCCGTCAACAAGTATTGCGAGCAACACGGGCTCACCACCACGTGTCCAGGTTGACACCCCAAGTAAGCCTGTAGGCCTAGGATGCATGTAATGAATACTCGGCGTGCGGCAGACATCTGTGACCTCGGCACCGCAGACTTTCCACACAAAAGCGAGCTCCACTGAAAAATAACCAAGCTGACGCATCCTCAGCATGCTTCCGAGAACATGCGCTGGCTCTATCGACTGTGTGCACTGTCAACTGAGCCAAGCCGCATCAACGCAACTTGCTTCTTGTGCAAGTTCTCAAGAGCCATCTGTGTGATCACTATGTCCTTCGTCTCCAGCTGTCAAGCTCATGGATCACATGCAACAAAGCCCATTGGTTGGGCATCATCGCACTGCCTGCAAAGAAATCCAAGCGACAACTTTATTCAGATCGCCTCGCAGTCTCATCAGGCCGGACCTCACAGCAGTCAAAGAATTTTTGGAATTGAACCTTACAGTTCATTATAGTCTGTTACAGTGTTTCGTGAGTTTTCGGCGCTCACACTCCACAATCCACGCGAGGCATGTGGTCTTGAGACGGCGATGTGAAACCGGAAGAACAGACCATGGGAAGAACACTCCAAAACACAGTCCCTAGCAGTAGACCCTTCTAACGTGGCGGACAGATTCTTCCCACTCGTGATCCCATCATGGGAAAAGTATCACGAGCTACAGGCACCACGACAAGATCACTGCAAAGGGGAAGGGGTACCGGTCTACTGTAGCCTGCTTTCGTGAGCTTGAGGGGTTGGAAATTTTTGAAGCTGTTTATCGTTATAGTGGTTTGTGAGGTGCAAGCCACGAGACACTGTAATGCTCAAAAAAAAGTCCAAAATTTCCATCCTCAAACAAGTCACGAAACACTGTAATGCTCAAATAAAAAGTTCCAAACTATTCTAAAATTCTGGCATGTATAGCCAGGGCAGAGTGGAAAATCTCCAAAATTTTTGGATCTTTGGAACATTACAGAGTTTCGTGAGTCTTGGGATTGGAAATTCTGGAATATTTTGAGCATAGCAGCGCTTTGTGAAGTTCAGGCCACGAAACACTGTAATGCTCCAAATGTCAAACCTTTACACATTCTTGCCACCCTCGAGTCATAGATGCCAGAATTTTGAAGTTTCGGATTTTTTTGGGCATTACAGTGTCTCGTGAGTTTGAAGATTGACAGTATTGGAATTTCTTGAGCCTTACAGTGTTTTGTGAGGTTCAGGACAGGAAACACTGTATCACAAGATAAAGGGGAACTCTAGAAATGCTCTCTTATGCGTCTTCTGGGGCAGCTGCAGCTTTCAGTACTCTTGCTTGGTAAATAAGAAGAATGCCCATCTTCGGCTTATTTCATTTCATGTTGAAGACTGTGGGAACCTGTTTACATGTTGCTGTCATTCAAGGACAATGGAGGTTTCATCTGCTTTTTCCTATGAATCAAAAGTTTCTTTCTCGGGTAGCTCTTATTGAGTGGCTCTTGCGCTTGGTTTACGAGTGAAACACAGAGAGAGCTCCTTTCGTGTCCTTTCCATTATAAATCCAAGAAGCCGACTACACGAGTTTTTCCATTATCGAATCCCAACTCCAGCAGCTGTTCTTTGCTTCATAAGCGCTAAAAAATTCCCTTGGATCCCTTGAAAGTGAAAGTTTCAAGTGCGCATGAGGGCGCATAAGAAGGCTACCCGGCGGCAAGAAGCAAGAGAGTTTCAATCCTCCAAACATGAAGCAAAACTAAATACGGCTAGCTTTATGTATACGTATCAATCAAAAGGCAGGGGCCCCTTTATCCTTGTAAAACAAAGTAGAATCGAGGAAGGTCCCCTTTTATCTTGTGACACGATCTACATAGCGATCGCTATCCGTTTTCTGAGGATACAGGACGAGGCAAAAACGGCTAATTTGGGCCAGCCCCATACGTATGAATCAAACATGAGCAATTGCAAACTCCGGCTGTTCCAGAAAAACGAAACCGACACTTCGCTCTATTATTCAAAGACTGAAGAGAGCTCCTTCTCATGTTGTATTGCCAACTATGACAACGTCTAAACCACAACCATTGACAGAGGGATCGGTAACTTTTGTCAGGATATGAGGGAGGCATTTTCAATAAGAAGTGATAGAACTCTCAGGCCCCGTGCCCGTTTAGTAAAAGGTATCAGTAAACAACCTTCCATTTGTCTGCTGATCAGAAATAAGGAATGTCGCTTGAAGGTTGAGGAGATCTCTTCACTTCTGTATTCTATGTTACGTTCTATGACAGCTGTTAGAGGAACAACCATGGACATAGCAGGGTATAAATCTGGTGTCGAATCTCGGCCGCGGAATAATACTGGTTTGTATGTTGGAGAAGCTGAAAATGCTGGAGGGTGTGGCAAGTTTGTTTATGTGGTACTAAATCATAAAGACCTGGTTCTTTTGGGTTTTATTGCTTTTATGTGTCTTAATTCACAACAGTCCTCTTATATTATTGCGTACGATTATGTCTGTGTGCGTGGGCCTTCTTTTTCCCGCTGCGCTTGAAGCGTCCGATTGTGCGTTTGCCTGATGTGACCTTAATATCTGAGGCGTGTAGGTATGTATGGAAGCAACCTGTAAAGCTCTGCTTGGTTTCCTCGGCTGTCGAAAAGTTGACATCCGGTTGGATTCGCTATTAACAAACAGTGATGGATGTCGATCCAACATACATGTATTTGGAAGGCTGCCGATAGTTTTCAACAGTATTAAAAAGGCGCCAACCCATTGCTGATTTCATGTACACTGCAGTGGGTCTTAAAAAACGAGGCCAGGTGTACATGGCTGGATGAACATGCATCGCCTCAGATTTCTCCGCGGAGATTGCTGCACATAATCGTTGAAACAGAACAACAGGGTCAAATGAAGCAATCCCTGAGACCAAATCACCGAAGGTTTCGGAAAATCGGGACCGTGGTGTATGAAATAGTGCAAGCCTCCCAAAGGCTGCAGATCCGCTATTTTAGCCACTTCCGTTGGTGGCTTTTCATGTTCAATGCTTCGTAAGCGAGTCACGAAGCTTCAGATTGGGCAGCTGCTATCACCGTCGACAAGTCCTTGATTGTGAAACGGGCTGGCTTCTTCTCATCCGGGCCAAGCCGAATTTCACGGCTGCTGTGGTCAACTGCTTTTTGGGGTGACAGTGCTTGAAAAACTCCTGAACGGTAGCCACATGCTTTTTCAGCTGTGTGAACTTTCCTTGAAAGACCGGCTTTGTCTTCAAAATTTGAAGCCAATCTTCAAAATGCTGATCAATCGCTCTTTTGGGTCGCGAATCCAGTTTGTTCTTGGGAGGACTCTTCAAAAGTTTCTGGGCTTCTTCTTCGCTTGAATCTTTGCTCAGCTTGGCCTTCCTGGCAGGCTTTGAATTAGGGTCTGCTTGAATAGGCAACCCGGTTTCTGCCTGATCACTTGATTGAGCATTCCTCCTGTCAGGAGTCTATGCTAAGTCATGGGCAGCCAGCTTGGCTTTGGCTTTTGCCAACGCCTCAGCTTCCTCAAATGAAGGTTTTTGGTGGCAGCTTGGATTTCACATGGTCTACCAAATCAGACGACAATCGTTGCATGAATTTCTTGGCGTCTTCGTGTTTGTCGAGAATTGCTTCCGTTAAAAATTTCTGGCCACTTCATCGACATCCAGATCCAACTCTATGGGGTGTCCAGCCAAACTTTGCTTGCGGCTCCATTCAGTAGGCTGAACTTCCTTGATAAATTGATGGCCTTGTTTGCCTACCGGCTGACGATCCCAAAACTTGTCGTCAGCATGAAATGGCACAGGAGGAGTAGGCGTCGGAGTTGAAGGCGGGCCTGTACCTGAGGTAGTATGTAGGTTCGGAAGGCCAGGAGTTCCATCCTGAAGGGGACCAACTTTTTCAGGTCCATTGGTTTCCTCGGTTGTTGGACCAACGATTATCCTTCTGTTGTCCCAATTCTTCTCGTACCATTCGGTCCTGGCTTCGCAACAGAAGAGATCGATGGGAGGATGTGACAGCTGAGGCTTCAACGGTTCCTGCTTGGGCCAAATAGGTCTCAAGGCTGATCGGGTGCACAGCTTTCAGCAACGCGAAACAATTGAAACCAGCCTAGCAACTAATCGCTCCGGATCATGCTGTATCGGGCACACATATTCCTCCGGTGAATCGATCATGGCTCGGCAACAGGTAGCAGTTCAGGGCTGATGCAATTAGAACTTAGAACCTTTCAGGGTTCAATGCAGTTGGCGATCCTACCGTAGACGGCACGTTGAACGAAAAACCGCTTCATACACTAGTGCAATCCTCCCTCTGCTTGACATCGTGTTCCAAGTACCCCCCACTTTCAGAGGCAATGATCTCCAGTCACGAAGGCTACGTACCTGCAAAGCGAATGGCAACCATGCCAAGCCACAAACCTGCAAAGTCGACATTGAAGTAAGCACTGATGTGTTTTATCAACATGCCCTTTGACTGACAAGGAGTCCCTTCTCTATAACACTTTGCAATGAGAGCGTCTTCGTTCGCAGGGGACTCTCAATGCATACTCCTGCGCCCTGCTGAAAGTTGCGAAGCAGTCAAGATTCTTCAGTGCCTTATCCCTTGGTAACAGGGTTGTACACAGACAGACAGACAGACAGACAGGCAGGCAGGCAGACAGACAGACAGACGCGCCCGCCGCTCGCGCACACACACACACACTCGCACCTTCGCACATTCGCACATGCACACACGCCGACTTACACGAGACGCATGCTCACACGTCCACCAGTGCAACTACCCATGCCGCTTCGATGCTGCTGAAAGTCCCAGGCATCCCCTGAGCGCCAGGCACAATCTCAGACATGGAAACTGCGCCATCCTCTTCCTTGGAAACAATACTGATCAATTTCTGGCACTTGCAAGCCGGCAGGACCAGGCGAGGCTTCAAGCCATGCTCTACTTTCTTGGCTACAGCAGGGACGACGATTGCTTCTACATTGAGAAATGCTGCGAATATCACGATGACGAATTCACCTGTTGATTTTGATGCCAGGGATACGGCTTCTGTCCCTGCTGATGCTACGTCCTACCACTACGACTACCACCACCACCACCACCACAACCACAAGAACAACGACCACTACCACTACGACGACCTCGACGACTACTACGACAATGACGACTACTACCTACCACCACCAGCACCACAAGCACCAGCACCAGGAACAGCACAGCACCACCGACTCTCCTGCTAGTCTGCTAGTAACTGCTAGGCTAGTACTCATCCTCCTCCTCCTTCTGCTGCTGCTACTACTGCTGCTACTGCTGCTGCTACTGCTGCTGCTACTGCTGCTGCTATTGCTACTACTGCTACTACCGCCACTATACAACCACTACCATCCACTACCACTACAGCTACTACGACGAGGACTACTACTACACTACTGCCTGCTAGTGCTACTTGTGCTTCTGCTCCTGCCGCTATTGCTGCCGCTGCCGGTGCTTCTACTGCTAGTCGGGTTACCCATTGCGCTTGCTACCGCTGCTGCCACTGCTGCCACTGCTGCTGCTGCTGCTGCTGCTGCTGCTGCTGCTGCTGCTGCTGCTGCTGCTGCTGCTACTGCGATTATTAGGTACCACGAAAACATGGCAGTCTTGCTTTGACCAACAAGCACAACCACCACGGCTAGTGGCACTTGTACCATCACTACTTGGTGGCGGCAACGATGGCAAGCCCTTCAACTCATTCTACTTGAGCGATGCACAGACCTATTGGTGGACAGCTGGTATTTTGCATTATCTCATTTCTTTCTGGACCGTTAAGCGGCCCGAACTGCGACCTAACACGGCGAACCGAAATGGGTAGCACTGTGGGAAAGGTATTGCTGCGGCATGTGGGCCCGGAAGCAGTGAAGTGGGGGAGAGAGGCTGATCGAAGAACTGCTTTCTATGCCGGAGGGTGTTTCTTTCGCTAATACCGGAGCCTCGTTGCATCTGGCCGGTTTGTGCCATAAGATGCAATCAACACAGAACTCAGAAGGGCCCTCGAGATTGACTCGACCAAGGTGCAGCATTGAACGCATCGAAGACGCCAGGCCGTGGCTCCACCACCCTAAGGGGCCCAGAGGCGTCTGCACATACAACACGGCCGACCGAAAAATTCAAGAGACTCAGCGACTATGGCTCCAAAGCCAACAGATGCCACTGCTGTCTTTGTGTCAAGCCACACATCCAATGAATCCAGCAGTTGCCGTACCTGGCGGCGCAGCTAAGAGCCGAAGCGAGGCGAGAAGGCCATGGGCCCTGGGCGGCCTCGGGACTGCGGATCACGTGATTGAACTCCTCCTCACCTCAGAGCCCGCTAGGCCGCTAGGCGGGACGCAGCTTCGGAGGGTATCGCCCATGGAGCGTTTTCCTGTTTGGCCTCTTCTCGAGACCAGTCTCGAAGCGCTCTAGGGGTGTGCCTGCCCACACTGCGAGGTCGCTCGAACGCGACCCGTGACGATGGTGTCGGCTGCTGCCCGCTCGCCCATCTGACGGAAGTCGAACTGCAGAAAACGTCTGAGGCGCAAGTCCCAAGCGTTCTCAAAGCATTCCCCCAAAGAACCCACATCAACCACAAGTGTCAACCAACAAATTTAAGGAGCGGGTCGTGTCCAAGCACCGAACTCACCGACGAAGTCAACTCATACTCTGTGTTGGGGGGGGCGGGAAAAAGAAGCGATCATCTTCGCCGCACGCCCCTGTCTGTTCATCGTTTGCTTGCTTGACAGGAATTGCGACTGCACGTGCGCACGCCAAAAGCGGCGTGAGGCGGTACGGGGCTAGATTCACATCTCCTCGCGTCTCGTCTTGCATGTCGTGGAGTATATGTGGTCCCGCAAAAATTCACTCCCTCTCTGTCCCTCTCCCTCCCCTTCTGTCTAGAACGTTTGGAGGTGCGTATGCCGCATGCCATCCACCGGTGCTCGCGTGTCTTGCGACATAGAGGCTTAGAAGGCATCGCTACCGCTTTGGCTGAACCTCTGCGACGGCGAACCGTGCTATCTGATTTCATAAGGGGCGCTGCTTGAGTAAGTGACACAAGGAGAAAGAACACCTGTCAATAACACATTGCACCTGAGACGCATAGTTTAAGCTCGGGGCAACATGCAGAACGTCTACGTAATCTCACCCCTCTCAAACGACCGAGATGCTGAGGTAAATCTCCCCTCCTTGTGCTGGAGGCTCATCTTCGTCAGAACTGCACAGTTCAGTAGAGGCCAGCATGCGGGCTTTGTCTGACTCCCACTTCTGCACCCGGCCTTCCATCCGAGTTCAAGCCTCGTATCGTTTTCCTGCCGGGCATCAACTCGCATGTTTTCTTCCCTGGCGTTAGGACTGCATTGCACAGCGAAGAAACCCAGTCCTCGACCGCATCATCTGTGTCTGACTTGCGACGCAAACGACGAGTTTTGCAAGCTGCTCGGTCATGTAGCTGGTTTCATACGCCTTTGCGTACTTTCGCTGGGTCTCAGTCTCCTTCAGGCCGTTCCTGGGGATAAGGAACAATAACTTACAATAACTTCGTCCCAAATGCCTTTGATGTGAGGCTTGAAGCCAAATATCAGGGTCGCTTCGACAAAGATAGCTGTGATGATGTTGAACAAGCCGAACAACACCTTGCAGCATGCGTCGAGTCACGCATGGATTCGTCGAAATGCAGGATTTCGACACTTCTGCACACGGCTGAGTGGCACAAACCATGCTGAACGCATAAAGGATGTCAAACCGGAGCCCAAAGCCATTGCTGAAGATCATGGTCAAGGATCTCCCACCTGCGCGTGATGCTTGATGACAAATGAATCGGCATCATAACTAAGATTACCGATTCAGGCTTTGCTTGGCAAGGGCCTGTCTAAACTAAACCCGAGAGGGTCAAGGAGATTGACTTCAAAAAGACACAAGGATAAGGAAAGTTCAGTTCGGCTTTGTCCTCCTGTCTGGCTCTGGGCGCAAGCCTGCCGATGTGCAGTCGCCAATCATACAGCGGAAGATGGAGAACATACAGCGGGAGACGTCGCCGCAGTACTCATCTCCATAAATCAGATGTATCTGCCCCTCATAAGGGCCTTGGTGCTAGCCGTGCTTGCAGCTTGAAAGCATCGTTTTTGTGCTGCCGGCCGCCTCTGCCTCTGCCTCTGCTTAAGCAGAATCTTTGAGTCTGAGTGGCAACCAAGCGGGACATCAGCAGAACTCATGTCCAGATCGTCACCGCTTCCACACTTCTCACCGGTGTCGGAATGCGCGAAGCTCTGAACCAACGACCGAAGTGCCAGCGCACAGACCTCAGCTCTCTGTGTCTGCAAAGCCAAGAAACGTCAGCGAAGTAAGTTCACTCAGCTCGCAACGTACACAACCACGGAGAGCGTGACAACTACCCAAAACAGCGATCTCACCTGAGCAGCTGTTGTGTCGACACCAGACACCAGCCAGCTGCAATGTCTATTTACTATTGAGCCGTGCTGGAGCCAAGCGCGACACGCTGATGAGAAATCCTCAGATATTCGGGTGCTCAAATATACGGTGTTGTCAGCATTCTCCACCGCACGGCTCACGCACTTGCCAAGGTCAAGAAAGTCGTCGTACTAGACTACTAGACTAGACATCTCCAGCTGAAGCTGCACCGTGGCTTCCAGAAGGAAGCCTAAATTCTCACTCCAAACAATGTGGGGGAAGGTGTTTGTGTGGACACAACACGAAGCAGTGGAAGGTTCTCGATGCGAACCGACTTGTGGACGTGAGCAGACATGCGCGTGTACTCGGTAACCAGGCCATGCCAGACACAGGCGGGTGGAAGCAAGATGCAGCTGCAAGGGGCTCACCGCAACACAACCAATGTGAGGCATGGGCCGGGCCGACAATGAAGAGGACAAAGCCAGGAAGAAGCAAAGGTGGACAGTCATGTCAAGAAAAGCTCGACCACAACCACTTTCCACGAGGACTCGCTGACATTCAAGAACTTCTAGCGATCCGTAGACATGAGCAGTTAGCATCAGTTAGCAAGGGCCATTGAGACTGTGCAAGCGGCCTGAGACTATGTTGGCCAGCTCTTGCAGCAATGGCATGTTGATCAGCTTGGCCAAGCGGGCCACCCTCGCCTCATCGTCACTAGGTAACACACGAGGAGCTGGATCTGAACATGAATCCAAGATGAGACCATAGCCAAGCGAAGGCCACGAAGAACTAGAATAATCTTCCTTAGAGCGTCAACGAATGCATTTCGCAATGGTACTGCTCGAGTCCTGTGATGACCGCCTGGCGATGCGTTCCGAGATGCGCCCGCGATGAGTTTTGGAAGATAAGGTTCAGAAACAGGTCGAGAATAGCAGCCTATAGTCAGATGTCGGCGAGGAAAGCCGTCCCGCTGCAAGCCCTCATATCTCTTGCAGTCTCTTGCACATCTCGCACCGATGACGCAAAAGCATCTTCAAGACTGTGCGGGAATGGTTTGGTGATGTGTGATGCACACTCATACCTGGAAAGTCCGACAGGGGAGAAAAGCAACCAAACCTCACTTGATCGGGACACCGGGCTTCTCTTCTCACTGATCCTGGCTTTGGCTAGCGAAACAGCAGAACCGCTGGCTCCGGAAGCACGCGGCGCTCGCGCCGATAGGTGTCACACTGTTACACAGTTCTGATTTGCAGTCAAAGCAGCCAGAGTCAGCCCGACATCTAGCAAGTTCCACCATCTCTCCGATCCACAAAAATAAGTCCCAGGGCCGAGCACCTGATCGAGGCCAGACACTCCCTGACAACAGGGAGGCAGGTCACCAAAAGGGTCCCATATCCTCTACTCTGCAGCAGCTTGCTACGAGCGAACCACCCGACCCGGACAACACAGACATGAACTGCTGCAGGCAAGGGATCTGCAAGCGCTGGGTTCCAGATGTTTATGTAAACTGTAAGATGTAAAGTTGCAAGGCAAAGGCATCTGTAGTTCTGCAACAAGTTCTGGATAAGATGGAGCAGGAACAATAAATTCCACCCAAAGTAGTTCAGCCACGTTGCTACACACTTGACGACAATCTCGAGAACAAAAACGCTGGCAAAAATGGCTTCGAAAACCATCCAGCCAGCCCAGTCAGGCCAATTGTCCAGCGACAGCCCCATCAGTACGAAGCCTGAACTGCGAACAACACAACCAGGCCAAACGTCAGTCGATGTCGCCCGGTCGCGACACGGCTAGCTAAGGTCTTCGGTGCTACGAAATGCTCTGATTGCTAGCCAGGTCGCTGAGGATAATCGCCGCCGTTGACATTCCCGATACCACACTTACCCAACGAGAGGTAGGCTTGGAGGGCTTCTGGACTTCTTCATATGCTGTGAGCAAGGCCTTGGTGGCGCCTGTCGTTGGAACCGCATCTCCAAGCAACGCCTGCTGCACTGCAAAAAGGTTCAAGGCCTGAGCTGCACTGTGGCGAACCAGGCGACCCACCCCCAGAACGGCAGGCTGCCGGATCAAAAAAAAATAAA